ACATCCTAAATGAAGCCTTCTAGGGCCAGGCATGGAAATGTATGTCTGTACATAGGGTAGATATCTGTAATCCCAGCACTCTGGAGGCAGAAGCAAGAGGAGCATGAGTTTGAGGCCAGCCTGGGCTGTGAGACTCTGACTCAAAAAAAAGAAAGAAGGAAGGTTGAGAGGAAAGGGGAGGAGAGAAAGAAGAGAAAAGAAAAGAAAGGATCAGAGCACCAGTGGTTCACACCTGTAATCCTAGCTACCCAGGAGGCAAAGATGAGGATCACAGTTTGAAACCAGCCCAGGCAAATAAATAGACCCTATCTCGTAAAAACCCTTCACTAATAAAATAAAATTAAAAAAAAGGGCTGGTGGAGTGGCTCAAGGTATAGGCCCTGAGTTCAAACCCCAGAACCAGGGGTGGGGGTGGGGGGTGGAGAGGTGAGGAAGGAAAAAAAAAAGGCCTGATGGAGTGGCTCAAGTGGCAGAGCTCCTGCCTAGCAAGCATGAGGCTCTGAGTTCAAACCATAGTACCACCAAAAAAAAGTTTAAAACCTAGAAAAGAAAAGAAGCCTCCTGGGGATTATTTTCTGAAACTGAGGGATATCTGAAAGGGCTCAAAGAAAGAGGCAAAATCTAGGGGTTGGATGGGGGGTGGTGGAGAAAGGACAAGGCTTACTTTATTATGAAATAGATGTTCTCTGTTCTCTGGGCTGGGGTTGTGCCTAAAGTGGTGGAACACCTGCCTAGAAAGCATAAAGCCCTGAGTTCAAACTCCAGTACCACCAAAAAAAAAAAAAAAGAAAGAAAGAAAGAGGGAGGGAGGGAAGGGAAGGAAAGAAAAGGGAAGGAGGAAGGGAAGGAAGGAAGGAAAGAGAAAGAAAGAGAATTTACTTCCTGGGATTGTGGCACCTGCCTATCATTGTGGCCCTGGGATGACCCCCACACCCCCACCCAAAAAAAAAAAAAAAACTCTCTAGTGACCCTAGGCTCATGCCTGTAATCCTAACTACTAAGGAGGCAGAAATCAGGAGGATTGCTATTTGAGATTCTGTCTCAAAAATAACCAATACAAAAAAAGGCTGGTGAGTGGCTAAAGTGGTATAGTGCCTGCTTTGCAATCATAAGGACCTGAGTTCAAACCCCAGTACCATCACCACACACACAAAAAAAAAAACCTTCTTGGACTAGAAGTCTAAAGTGAAAAATATGCAACATACGAAAACCGTCATGGTTTTAGTTCCACCTTCGAGGAGCTGACATTCTTTCTATACTATAACCACAAGATGGCAGTATTGTCCATTTATTGGATTACGAGTTGTCCTAGAAATCGTGGGGAGAAAGCCAAGGTATAGAAATCCTTTTTGTCTCAAATTGTTCCTGTCTCCAGTATTTGGTAGAAAATAGCAACACTTCATGGACACAAATACACAATTTTCTCTCCCTAATCCAGCTCTGACTTGGTCCATTTACTTAAGTTTATTTGTTCTTTATTTAAAGCAACTGAAGAATACGTTGGTGAAAAAGTTCCTGTTCTCTTAGGTCTCAGTTGTGAGGGTTATAAATTGGGGTAAGAGTAATGACTAACACATTTAGAATGGTGTACGAAACATTTAATCCTCATAACCTTATAAAGTAGGTACAATATTGTTATTCCGTCTTACAAATAAGGAATCCAGGGTGTAAAGAGGTCTAATAACATGCCCAAGTTCACACAGCCAGAAAAGAAGAATTGCTGGGAGATGAAACCAGGCAGCCTAGTTCTAGCCAAGAAGCTAGAGTCAGGAAAGGACTCCTGGATGGCAAATCTAAAATCTCATCTATACTGAGTCTTAAGGAAGAATAACTTTGGCTAAGAGATTTGAGGGGTGGGAGTTGGGTGCTGGGGATTGAACCCAGAGTCTTTCATACACTAAGAGCACACTCTACTGCTTAGCTACAGGCTTCAGCCTGGGAGTTGTTCTAGAAAGAATCAGAAACTTGCACAAAGATTCAGAGATGATCAAGACACTGGAGGTATGGCTCAAGTGATAGAGTGCCTGGCCTGCCTGGCAAGCATGAGGCCCTGAGTTCAAAAGGCAGTGGGGGGGTGGGGGAGAAGGAAGGGAGGGAGGGAGGGAGAGGAAATGAGGAGACTGGAATTTTACATGCAGGTATCTAGCCTGGATGACTGTCATTCACTAAATGGAAAAAAAAAAAACAAACAAAAAACCTGCAGGTTGGGGCACAATGGGAGTTCTTTACTTAACCCTTACTTAACTTGTGACATCTGAGACATTTGAGATGCCTTGGTTCATCCAGATGGAGAGACTCCGGATGTCTGGGCTGGAGTGTTTATCCGGTAATTCATCTACCATCTTGTACTCTATGTTCTTGGAAGAAAGGACCTGAGTCTTACTTATCTTTGCACTTTCCACTACATACATATTTGGAGAGGATGTGAAGGATGGACTACTTTCTCTAAAGGAGGAGAAGAAGGTGATACCCTCTCTGTTCTAGGGTGTTTACTGTTTTGCTGAGCAAATGGCATCAGAGAAGGACAGGACATAACAGAATATTTGGTAAGACAATCACTGCTCTAGGAGATCAGAAAGGAAAAAAAGAGAAGCCAGGCCCTGGTGGCTCACAGAGATCAGAAGGACAGAGGTTCAAGGCAAGTTCGGTTAAAAAGTTCATAAGACCCCTTTCTCAACCAGTAAAACCTGGGCATGGTGGCATGCACCTGTCATTCCAGCTATGGGGAAGTGTAAATAGGAGGACAGTGGTACAGGGCATCCAGGGCAAAATTCAAGACCCTATCCCAAAAATAAAAGCATAAAGGATTGGGGCATGACTCAAGGAGTAGAGTTCCTACCTACCAAGTGCAAGGCCCTGAGTTCAAATCTCAGTACCACCAAAATAAATAAATAAGATATTTTATTGGCCACTAATTCCAGAGAGGAAACCAACACCTTTCTACTTGTCTGAGAAGCCCAGTAGTGAAGTCTATCCATTATATTCAACACGTATGGTGTGTGCCAGGAAAAGAGCAAGACCTGACCCCTCAAACATTTTCAGTCTGCCTAGGGATCACCAAAGACATGGGATCAAGGAGTAAACCTGGAGAAACTGAGGTCTGGGAAGAGGTAATCAGTACCAGAATCTAAATACCTCCAAAGCATTTGATCCCTTGGCACTCTTTTATATATATATATATATTTTTTTATTATTCATATTTGCATACAATGCTTGGGTCATTTCTCCCCCAACTTGGCACTCTTCAACTCTGCCCTGTGGCTGGGCCTATGGTCATACTTCTGAAGACTGGTCACACTTCTGGGTTTTCTGGGTTTCTCCTTTTTTTTTTTCTTTTTTTTTTTTGCAGTACTGGAGTTCGAACTTAGGGCCTCCATATCAAGTCACATTATCAAAAAAGTGATGGATTTTGGAGACAGGGTCTTGAACTATTTGCCTGGGCTGATTTCAATCCTCCTGACCTCTGCCTCCTGAGTAGTTAGGATTACAGGCGTGAGCCACTGGCGTCCAGCTTTGTTTCTCCTCTTGCAACTTGCTGTCTCTAACTCAGGCATCTAAGGTCAGATCTCTCTTCCATCCTCACTCCTGTAACTTCAAGCCCCCTTCTTAGACATCTAAGACCTGCAGATACATAGCTAGGAAGGCATAGCTAGGAATCCCAGAGTCCAGGTTTCTCTCCAGCCTTGCCTCCACATTCCCAGTTTTTCCAACCTTCTCACTCCCTTTGCTCCGTTAAATCTCAATTTCAAGCTCACAATCTTCCCAACTGTAAAATTTGCTCCTGTGTCAGTGCTGCCCATCACCTCCTCAACTTCTCAGGTTGTTTCCAGCCTGTTCTTTTCCTAATCTTTCTGATCCTTCTGATGAAGTCAATTGGAGTTTCCCTCCAAAGCTACCTCCCATTCTTGGGGACTTAACACAGCTACATCCCTAACTCTTTTTTTTTTTGAGACAGGGTCTCACTATGAGCTAGTCCAGGCTGGCTCCTCCAGAGGGCTGTGATTACAGCCTCCATGGCTTCTTTAAACTTTGGTCTACCTCTGGTAGCTGGGTCTCTGCTGGGTTCAAGTTCTCCACCACCTCTCCCTTGAGCTCTTGGTTCTCCCACCAAGGCTGACTCTTGTACCTGTTCCTCCTTCCCTCAGGAGTCTCTGCCATCACCCTGATCCTCTGTGTTTACCTCCTCAGGGACTTCCTTGGTATCTCCCACTTTATGCTCCACTCTTTCTTTCTTCCCCATGGCTCTGGTCTCTGTGCCATCAATTCCTCTGCCCCATTCCCATTTCTGTGCCTCCACATCTCTCCTGGTCTCTGTAGACCTCAGTATCCCCCAGTCTAGTCACACCTCTCTCTTGACCCCCCCGTATCTTTGTCTTTGACTCTATCCACTCTTTAACTAATTGTCCGTCTTTTTCCTTCTCTGCCTCTGTCTAGCTAAGTCTCTCCCCTCTGTGCCTTGCCTCCTCTGACTCTTTTCTCTCCTTTGTCTCCCCTCCCATCCCTCCTCTTCCTACCTGAATCTCCTGGATTTCTCTTACCCTCTTATCTCTCTGTCTCTCCTTGGCCTCTCTGACTCTGACTGTCCCTCTCTACCTTCCCCCTCCCCCTCATCGCTCTGTCTCTTCATCTTTCTCTGGGCCGGTGCTCCCTCGCTCCCTCCCTCTCTCTTTTCCTCCGCTCTCTCCAGCTCCCTCTCTCGCCTCGGATGACAGCGCTACCTCTTTTGTTGGCTCCGCAGCCAATCGCGGCCGCTGACGACACGGGGGCCTGGGCTATAAAGGGCCTGGCCCGGGCTCGGGCCCCCCCAGCCGCCCGCCCCGGCCGCCCGCCCGCCCCGCCCGCGCGCCCGCCGCCCCCCGGCCCCCTTGGCCCCCCTCGGCCGGGCAGCCCCCAATCCCGCGCCGCCCGGACCCCCTCCTCCTCCTCCTCCCTCCTCCCTCCGCCCCTCCCGCGGGACTCCGGCGTCCCCGCCCCCCAGTCCTCCTCTCCTCCCCTCCAGCATGGTGCTCATGGCCCCGCTGCTGCTGGGCTTCCTGCTCCTCGCCCTGGAGCTGCGGCCCCGGGGGGAGGCGGCCGAGGGCCCGCGGCGGCGGCGGCGGCGGTGGCGGCGGCGGCCGGGGCCGGGGGGGAGCGTTCGAGCCGGCCGGCCCCGTCCGTGGCGCCCGAGCCGGACGGTTGTCCGGTGTGCGTGTGGCGGCAGCACAGCCGCGAGCTGCGCCTGGAGAGCATCAAGTCGCAGATCCTGAGCAAACTGCGGCTCAAGGAGGCGCCCAACATCAGCCGCGAGGTGGTAAAGCAGCTGCTGCCCAAGGCGCCGCCGCTGCAGCAGATCCTAGACCTGCATGACTTCCAGGGCGACGCGCTGCAGCCCGAGGACTTCTTGGAGGAGGATGAGTACCACGCCACCACTGAGACGGTCATTAGCATGGCCCAGGAGAGTAAGTGGGCTGTGGGGTGCGAGCGGTGCGGTGCTGGCCCGGCTCTGGGAAGGACGCCTCCCGCTTGCGAGCGGGGCGCTCCCGGGTGCCCCGGTCCGGAAGCTTTTTTCTGCGAAAACTTGATGGATTGGGGAGCGGGGGCTACTCCACAGAACTTTTCGAGCGGTGAAGATGGGCAGCGGAGTTGTGTGTACGCCTCGTTCCCGGAGGTGGGAGGGGGGGACAAACGAGGCGGGTTGCGAGATACTACCTTCCATCCCCGATGTGCGAAAAAGCCCCATATTGAAGGAGTCCGGAGAAGCTGGGGTCCACAGCCAAGGAGACCCGGCAGTGACTTTCCTGAGGGGCCTTGTGGGGGAAGGCTGGAACAGAATTGGGGGGCTCGGGGACTCCCGTTGTCCTAGGTGGGCCGCAGTGTTGTCTCCCCACCCTCTGGCACCAACTCCCCGCCCCCGTGCTCCGACGCGCCCACCGGGCTGCGGAGAACTGAGTACTCCTCTCGCCATCCCACGAATAAGATCCCAGAACCCTGTGTCCCTCCCAGCAGCCCAACTGGCACCCTTTCCATCCTGAGTCTTGTTTCGCACTGGGTATCCCAAGGGGGCAGAAAAGCTGTGACTTCCTTGTACCCACGGAGCTCAGAGAAGTCAATTCCACTGCGCTGGGGGCTTAAGGACACCATTTGGTTACTCAGACTTTGGTGTTTTCCGACCTTATTCACCGGCCCTACCCACAGCTGGACTTAAGTAGCCAGAGGAAAACCCAGGGAGAAAGAAAAAGAACTAGATTGGGGGGCGGGGGAGGAGACCCAGGTATCCGAGCCCCTGGCCAAACGGAAGATGAACATGTTAATAGACATGAGCTGCTTTGAAATTTTATGGCCTGGAAAATCCAAGCCAATACCACCACCCCCACCCCCAGCTCTCCCTAGTGTCAGGTGACTCCATCTTCCCCTCCCCCACTGGGTCTCCCCCCACCCCCAACTCCAGGGAATCTGGCCCTCTCTATTCCCTAGTGGTTTGGCAAGATTTCCCCCCCTTCCCCCCAGGCACACACACTGTTTGGTTTTATGGCTCTGGACAGCAGAGGGGGAGACTGGTTTATTGGCAGATGGGTCATAAAAAGCTGGGGCTGAGGGGAGTCCTAGTGGCCCACCCCGTGGAAGAGGCACATGAACCCAGGTGTGCTTCTGGGAGGCTGTGCCTGAAGCTGCCACCCATATTTCTGCAAACTCCACAGTTCTTGATCAATATTGTAAAGAAAACAAAACACCAGGAAACTAAGTAGGTATGGGTGTGGGTGAAGGCATGGAGATTTGGTCTTGAGTTCCTCAGTTTCCCTTCTGTTGTTAAAGCTTCTGCTTTTGGAAATGAGTCAGTCTGAGATTGACTGAGAGCAGGGGTGGGGATGGGGATCCTAGAAAACAGTTGTAGAAGAATTCTAATCTAGTTTCTTGGAAGATGAAGGGTATAGAAGGGAAAAAGATACTCTGGTTTGTGTGTTGTAGAGTGTGTGTGTGTGTGGATTTCCAGGATGGGTGACCACCGACTTCTCCTTGTCCCTTCACCATAAGGCCTGAGCTCAGAATTAGCTTTGGTAATGGGGATGCAGGAAGTGAAGGCCTAATCTGTGCATGGATTGGACAGCACAGGTTAGGCCTGGTGGGGGGAGTGGGAGGAGTGAATCAGCAGGTGGAGTCTCACCCCAACTTCCACTTCAGTACTACCCCAGAACTTGGGTATCTAGGGAACTGGGTATCCAGCCAGGTATTGTACTTCCCCTTTAAGAGTCTAGCTGTGCTCTTAAGAGAGGGAGGGGGAGTGGAGGGGAGGGGAGGGAGAGAGGGGAAAAGGAAAAAGAGACTTTTATAGTCTAATCCCCAGGGACCCGCTTTAATAAGAGACTTGTGCTCTGCTAATCGGGGGAGGTGTTTGTCAGCAGAGATGGCCTCTGCTCCCCTCCCCCCTGCCTCCCCTCCCCCAGCCCTCAACGGTGGACCCCAGCCCCCACCTCTACTAGACTGCTATGCCTGCCCTAGTTCCCTCTATGCTCTCAAGCTCTCCCACCCCAGTCTTCTTCCTGGGAACTCAGCCCCCTGCCCTTCTGGGAGCCAAGCCCAGCCCCTCAGTTTGTCTCTCCTGCACACACCAAGAGGCCCCTGCCCTCTTAGCCCAACCTCCTGCCCCTAGGCCTTCCAGCCTGGGTTGGGAGAGGGTGTGTAGTTGTGGGGGGGGGGACGGGACGGAGGAAGGGGAGGCAGTGAGCAGGGAGGGGGTTGGGCCTTTGCTGAAAATAGTGCAATGACCTCTCTCCCCCACCAGCACCGCCTACTAAACCTGACCTGCTGCCTGCCACCAACCAAATCAATCCAACACAGATGTGGCCCCTTCCCCTCCCTACAGGAGCTGGGCCTATGTGTGTGTTGGGGACATTCTCAAGCCCCTACTGTTACCTGCTTCTCCTTTGTTCCTTCATAGCACACTTTGTACCCTTTTACTTGACCCCACCAGGTTTAGCTCCCTCCTACTTCAGCTTCTTAACTCTCACTCACTGCTTTCTGTCCAGCCCCAGTGTTCTCCAATTCCCAAATTTATTTCTCCTCCCTTTACTGTGATCTACTTGTTCCATGCCTCTGCTCATCTCCTCTAACCTGCCTTCTTCATTCCTAACATTTTCTTCTCATTCTTACCTTCTCAACATCTACAATCTCTCCTTGATTCTTCTTCCCCTTTCCCTATGTTCTGTCCCCATACCCACACAGGAAGAAGTTTATGAGGATTTCTTGGGATGGAGATTGGGGAAAACGAACCAGACTTAGAGGAATGGAGCTCTGGTGCCCATTTCCTCATCTCCCAAACTCTGGCTCAACTTTGGTAGGGAGTATGTTTATAGAGCTTAGAACATTAACAAAACATTTGAGAAACTACTACTATTTTCACATTGTTTATTTAATGCTCAACCCTCCTATAAATCAAGAATTATCTGTATCACACTGAGAAGCATGTTGGGTAAGGTTAGACATTGGTTAAAGAGTCAGATAGTGGTTAAACCTGCTTCAGTTGTAGCCAAAGAAGGTGTTGAGGAAGAACTCTCAGGCCCTTGCCTGTGTAACTTAAGATCAGGAGTTCCATTCAGCATGTGTTTATTGAATACTAAAGCTATAATAGTGAGCAAGTACACAGTATCAACAGACACAATGCCTACCTTCAAGGAGATGAGTAATGACCAAAAAAACCCAGACAATTTCTGTGCTGCAATTAGGCATAGCATACCATTTAGGTTATTGCTTGTCATTCTAGATCCCATTAGAAGCTTCCCTGCCCTAACTACTCTCCTAATCTCTGAATCTCATACCCTACTCCACTGCATCATCACTGAAGGTCCAGCCAGTAGGGTAACTAGGAGGACTGCCAGCACTGGGACCTCAGAAGAACCAAGGAAAAAGATACTGCAAAAGAATTTTATGTATCGTGTTCTGAATATAAGATTATTAAGCACTTTTCTCCCCATCTCATTTGGAGGGTCCTTTCTCCTCCTGGGGTGGGGTAAGGGATGTGCTGATGGGAGACAACAGATTTCAGTCTTCCATGATTATGCACAATGTGAAACTTAGGCAAAGCCCTAGACTTCCTCACCGTACTTACATGACTGGAAAAACTCATTCCAGAGTCGTCCTATCTAGAGTTAGAATGGCCATTACTGTCCAAAGACATGATTTAGGGCATTCTCAACTGATTCAAGTGATTAGGAAGGAGAACTGAAAGGAGCTGGAAATATGAGGAAGCAGAAGGATATATTAAGAATCATCTTTTAATCAGAGGCATAGCTTTAAGTGGTAGAACACCTGCCTAGCAAGAGCAAAATCCTGAGTTCAAACCTCAGTATTGCCAAAACAAAAACAAAAAAACAAAAAAAAAGCCCATCTTTTAGATGTTAGACCTTTGTAAAGATTTACTGGCACTGGACTGAGGAACTGAAAGACACTCTGGGGAGAAGACAACTGATTATAGTTGATTTGATTTGCTGAATATTATTTGTGATGCCCTGCACAAATAGGAGAAAACAAGTTTTTCCCCTCCTCAAAAGCTGAGGCAGTGGCATGGTGTCTCATGCCTCTAATCCCAGCTACTTGAGAGGTGAAGATAGGAGCACTGCAGTCTAGGGCCAGCCTGGGCAAAAAACTTAAGGCCCTATCTGAAAAATAAAACAAAAAACACTGGGGGCATAGAACAAGTGGTAGAACATTAGTTGGAGTTCAAACTCCTGTATGGGGGTAAAGAAAAAAAGGCTCAGGCAGTAATGGTGGTGATGAGGAAGCAGATAAGGAAACTTATTAGAGGAGAAAGAACAAGGAGTCAGATGCACAGGAAGTTCCATTCTAGTGGCTGTGCTGTTGGGAATAAGACCAGAAGCCTAGATCTGAATTCTGGTATATGAGATAAATTTAGTACACACTCCCTCTTTGGACCTTGGGTTATGTCCTCTGAGGCCATCTTTTTTTTTTTTTTTTTTTATTCTCATTTTTGAGAGAGGGTACCAGGTTCCACCTGCTCATTAGACAAATCAGAGCAGAAATAGGACAAGGTCACCTGAGGACCGCAGGTGTGGTAAGAGGTACAGCTTCTATGAAGAGCATTAAAGATTCAGAAGAAATTGGAGCCTTACATGCTGGGAAAATATTGGAGGAAAGGAAGGATGCAGATGGAAGGAGACTTCTCTGATAACTATCTTTGCAGGTTAGTTGGTAGAGAACATATGCATCAGGGTAAATGGATTAAGGAATCAGACCTAATGGGCATCATCCTAGAGGGGCACTGTTTTGGGCACAGACACCATGGTAGTTAACAAGACAGGCATGGGAGAAGGGTAAAGAACTGCAAAACTCAGGCTCAGAAGAACCTGCCAGTGTCACCAGGGCAGCTGAACCCCTCCACAAACTCCCTTTGCTGATATTGTGCCCCCTTCTCTCTTATCAGCGGACCCTGCAGTGCAGACAGATGGCAGCCCTCTCTGTTGCCATTTCCACTTCAGCCCCAAGGTGATGTTCACAAAGGTACTGAAGGCCCAGCTGTGGGTGTACCTTCGGCCTGTTCCCCGCCCAGCCACAGTCTACCTGCAGATCTTGCGACTGAAACCCCTAACTGGGGAAGGGACCGCAGGGGGAGGGGGTGGAGGCCGGCGTCACATCCGTATCCGTTCACTCAAGATTGAGCTACACTCACGTTCCGGCCACTGGCAGAGCATCGACTTCAAGCAAGTGCTACACAGCTGGTTCCGCCAGCCGCAGAGCAACTGGGGCATCGAGATCAACGCGTTTGATCCCAGTGGCACAGACCTGGCTGTCACCTCCCTGGGGCCGGGAGCTGAGGGGCTGGTGAGCAGGGGGCCTGAAGTGGTGGTGGATATGTGTAACCTGGCCCTGAGGAGGTGGGGTTAGTAGAAAAAGTAGATAAGGAATGTGAAGGGGGTTGGTGATAAGTGCTGCTTCATTAGAGCGAGGAGCTATCTAGAGTTGGGGTATGAGTGGCAACTAAAACTTTTCAGGGGTCCAAATCAGCCAACAGCTGAAAATTGGATTTGAGTTAAAAGGTGTTAGTTGCCGGTGCCAGTGGCTCATGCCTGTAATCCTAGCTACTCAGAAAGCAAGAGATCAGGAGGATCATGGTTCAAAAGCCAGTCCCAAATAGTTCTCTCAACCCTATCTCAAAAAAACCCAACACAAAAAAGGGCTGGTGGAGTGGCTTAAGTGGTAGAGTGCCTGCCTAGCAAGTGTAAGGCCCAGAGTTCAAACCCCAGTCCCCTCAAAAAGGTGTCAGTTAATGGAAGACACTTGGGAAAACAAAAACTGGTCTTTGATGAGGCCCTGGGCCAAGGAGCTGTTGAGGGTCAAGTTGACAGGAAAGAAGAATTAGGGAAGGTGAGTTGAGAGATGACTATGGCAAGGAAAGTGTACAGAAGATAAGGTCTGGAGACAGGAGCAATGGAAAAGCTGAGAAGTCAATGGTTTCTGTTCTGATGCCCCTGTTGAGAGGCAGGTGGGAAAAGAACAGGGAAGATGAATTATTCAGGGGTATGTCACATCTCTTTCCCCTCTCCCTGACCCTCAGCATCCTTTCATGGAGCTTCGAGTCCTAGAGAACACAAAACGGTCCCGGAGGAACCTGGGCCTGGATTGTGATGAGCACTCAAGCGAGTCCCGCTGCTGCCGATATCCCCTCACAGTGGACTTTGAGGCTTTTGGCTGGGACTGGATCATCACACCTAAGGGCTACAAGGCCAACTACTGCTCTGGCCAATGTGAGTACATGTTCATGCAAAAGTATCCACACACCCACTTGGTGCAACAGGCCAATCCAAGAGGTTCTGCTGGGCCCTGCTGCACACCTACCAAGATGTCCCCAATCAACATGCTCTACTTCAATGACAAGCAGCAGATTATCTACGGCAAGATCCCTGGCATGGTGGTGGATCGCTGTGGCTGCTCCTAAGGTGGGGGACAGTGGACGCCTCCCCCACAGACCCTACCCTGAGATCCCCAGCCCTGGTCCCCATCCTCCCAAGCCCTACAGCTCCCTCCACCTCTTCCCATGAGCATCACACCTTGTTCCCTGACCAAGCAGTGTCCAATACAACAGGGGAGGCAGGTGGGGTTTGAGGGGTGAGAAGCTAAGGGAAAAGGAAAAGGAGGGGCATGGTCAGGGTGGACAGTGTCTGAAGTTTGCAGGTGAGAAGGTCTGGCAAGAGGACAGAGGGATGTAGAAACAGAGGTACAGATGGGAGGGACAGAGATAGCAACAAATAGAGCAGCATTGAGAAGGCAAAGGAATAGAGAGGCAGAAGAGACAGACTAGGCAGAGACAAACACTGAGAAGGAGACTGAAACAGAGTAATAAATGAAAGCCCTACACCAAGCCACCTTTTTTCCACTGGCAAAATGAGGCTTGGTATAGTTTGGGGAGCTCCCCTGACTACTCATCAGTAGGAGAAAATCAAAAATTCATTCTTAGCTTTTTCCCTCTCTCCCAACAGTGGTCAGGGGAAGGGAAGTGAGGACAGGGGCAAAAGTAAGGATTTGGGAAATTTATTTATTTATTTATTGTGACTTTTCATTTTTTGGTATTTGGCTTTACTGGAATAGGAGGGCCCCTGCCCACTATGCCCCATTTGTTCCTTAATCCCCAAACCCTGTTCTTCCCAATACCCACCCACTAAAGCACTTGTATAAAGCCTCCAGGGTTGGGAATGGGAGCAAAGGGCAAGTAAGTTTCTAACCCATAATCACCCTAACTTTTTTGAACCAAATGGATTGAACTGAGTGGTCATAGAAACCATAAGTTAGGGTTTAAGAGCTATGGGGGGCAGGGAGGGGAGCCCTCAACATCCAGGATCTTTGTGAGAGCCACTAAAGCAACCCTCAGACCCACCTTTTCTTTATGGTATTACTTAACCAGAGGGTACAGCTTGCTTATGCCCAAATTCCCCTCAGCCAAGAGAGACCAAAGAGCCTGTGGAATGCCCCTGCTCCCAGCCTCTAGCTTCAGGTCAGTAAGAGAGTAGAGATCCCAGAGGCCCCAGGTCTGGGAAGGGTTAGGAAGAGTCAAGAAAGGAGTAATAAAGAGGCTGAAGGTACAGGGCATTTGAATCCAAATCACTGCTCTGGGCTAGGGAATAAAGCCAGCAGACCAAGGTGGAAGGGATTCTGGAGGGGGGATATTTTAGTCCCCAAACCCCAAAGCTCAGGGTGGAAGGACGGATACAAGGGAGTAGAGTGTCTATAATTTTTATCTTTTATTTTTGGAATATAGCAGTGTCTGAGCAGCAGGGAGGGGACAGTACAGTGGGGAGAGGCATAAGACAAGGCCAGTTATAATAGAGGATGGGAAGATGGAGACTTCCTGGTTTTGAAGGCTAGGAAGCAGGCAGACTGACTGGTTGCCACTTCAAGTCACTAGCTGGGCCCATTTTCCTTCTACAATCCTGACCTGCCATCCTCTGAACTCACTGTGCCTCAGTTTCTTCCCCTGGATGGAATGAGAAATAGCAGCACCCGCCACAGCCAAGAGATGAATTCTGAGCACTTACCACGGGCACTTTATGGACATAAAATACCTCTCGCTGTGGGACTACGTAACCAGGGCACCAGAGTGGTGATGAAGAGATGTGAGGCTTAAAGGAGTCACAGGATTCAGAATGCAAGTTCCCCTCTGCCTCCTAGCTGCACAGTGCCTAAAGCCAAGGAGTTGAGAATCTTCACACCCTATCCATACCTCACCAGCAACCTCTTTGCTCCAGAAAATAGCCTAAAGGATGTACGTGGAGGGGGAGGGCTGCAACAAAATGAACCCACTAAGTACAGCCAGTAGTTATGGTCTGATAGAAACAGTACTGAACTCCAAGCTGGAAAGCAAATTGGGAAGGCTTGTTCTTCCTGAGAGCATGTCTCTCCTACTTGGACCAGACCATGGAAAGAACAAAGATACATGGTCAACCACCCTTGGGAAGGTGATGTTGGCAAGTTTTAGCATCTTTCTCCTATTCTCATAGTGAGAAAATGAGACAAAGTGCTTTAGTAGAGGAATGGGCAAGGGCTGTTAAGCTTTTCAACTCACCTCCCATATAGCAGCTATGTTAACCCCAAGCCTCTCCTCTTTGGCCCTGTTCATCCTTCCTTCTGCCCCAATCTTGGGAGAACAAGACATACCTGACCATTAACATTCACATTTCCTTGGTAGAAGGACAGGAACAGAAAAGAGAAGATACTTTCTCCAGGGTCAAATGCCTCTTGATCTTGGGCAGGGAGCGGGGTGGGCAATAGGTATCAGGTAACTTCCCTCTATAGTCTAGAGAGCTGGGGCATTAAACTTGCAGAACAGTTAAAGTATTGCCCCTTTACTGCCATCAAATAAAGACCTTTGCAAGGGGGGTATGGAGGGTTCTCATGAATATAATCTGTAAGTTGAAGTTTCAGTCCCTTGTTCTTCCCTATCCACAAAAAAGGCATGGGAATAAAGAGGCTTGGGGACATGGCCCAGCAACCCAGAGGGAGCTGGGCCCCAACACACACCCACACATCTTACTGTGTGTGGATCTGGCCAGCGCCCCTCCAAACATACCATTATTAGTGTAATTATTTACTTTGTGTATTTGTTACATCCTGTGTATGATTGCCTTTGTTAAGGATGCCTGAGAGGTATGGGGCTGACAGGGGCACTGGAATGCTGGGAAAGGAGTTCTTCACTGAGATCAAGGCTTCCTGGAAGGAGGAACCATTGCAAAAAGGCCATCAGGCAGTTTTCAAGTTATGTGACAGAGGGCAAAGATGGCCATAGGGTGCTCTGAGTTTTGGGATAGTCACATGACACAATCCAGCACTTGAACCTGAAAAAAGAAAAATAAAAGCAGTCAAAGAGTTTAGAATTCAGTGCTGAACTCTTCTCCCTAATCAAGCGTCACATTTACATGGTGGAGACCAGAAACTGAAGATATAAGAGAGGAAACCTTTTGCTCTAGGATGAAGAATTTGGGGGTCCTTGGAGCAGGAGAGAAAACACTAAGGAAATGTGGAATGAGGGTTAAGACATGCAATCTGAGGATGGGAAAGGGAGAGGACTTACAATTTTTCTCTGGAGGCTGGCAGAGTGGCTCAAGTGGTAGAGCACCTGCCTACCAAGTATTACACCCTGAGTTTAAACCCCAGTACCATCAGAAAAAGAAATAAATTTTTTTTTTTTTACAAAGCTTGCTCTGTAACAGTCCCAAAGATTACAAAAAGCCCTCTCCAAGCCTCCACAGAATGAATATCTAAAAGTTCTCTTGAGATGATCCAGCTAATGTCTGAATGTCTGTCCCATTCAGCAGTCCCTAATCCTAGGCAGCTTCAACAGTGTCAACAAAACCTTTAAGCCAAACCAACAGCTGTTCACCTTCACTATGTAACAAGAATAGTTAGGCACCTCAAACATTGAGTTCGCTGTAAAAATTGTTCTTATATACCTACAGCATTATTCCCAATGTATAAGAGTTGTTGCGAGCTGGGCAACAGTGGCTCATGCCTGTAATCCTAGCAACTCAGGAGGCAGAGATCAGGAGGATTGAGGTTTGAAGCCCCCTGGGCAAACAGTTAGTTCATAAGACACTATCTTCCAAGAAACCTTCACAAAAAAAAGCTGGTGAAGTGGCTTCAAGGTGTAAGGCCTTAGTTCAAACCCCACTACCAAAAAAAAAAAGTTGGGGGTGCTAAAAGAATCTTACCAGATTTACATTTAAAAACAGAAAAGGAAAGCGCCACAATAATAAACACCACCATGCTTTTCCTGTCTCATCAGCAGACTAACTACATAACAGGTTGGGAATGAGTGAGGTAGGGCCCAGATGATAAAAATGCTATCATTCACCGGGCACTGGTGGCTCATGCCTATAATCCTACCTACTCAGGAGGCACAAGTCAAGAAGTTCAAAGCCAGCCCCGGCAAACAATTCTCAAAAATAATACCCATCACAAAAAAGGGCCGGTGGAGTGGCTCAACACGAAAGCCCTGAGTTCAAGACCTAGTACCGCTAAAAAAAAAAAAAGAAAAGCTGTCACTCTGTCTTCTTCCAAGGGAACTGCCTGCTTTATCCATGTGATTTGACCTGAGCCAAAATGTGTTTTCTCCTCCTACTGCTCACTTATTTCCTACATTGAGAAGACAATCAGAAGAAACTGTAAAATGACTTTTAAGTTTTAACATTCTCCAAGTCAATGTATGAGTAACTGTCTTATACTCTGCCTTTGTCCAGCTTTTGCATGTGAGAGACAGAAACATTAAAGGCAATGGATCTAGGTGATAAGGTCAGCTTTCCTGCCAAACAGCTGGGTTTAAGGAAACAACTGGACTCTGCAATTTTCACCACCCCCCAAAAAATAATTGCATAAGCAGGTGTGTGCACATATACAAAGTCCCGAACTACTCCACTCATACCCCCATGGTCTAAAGAAAAAAATTTTCTATTTACACTGAATCTTAATTTTAATCTAGTAAACTTTTTTTTTTGTGGGACTGGGATTTGAACTCAAGGCTTTACGCTTTGAAAGCAGGCGCTCTACTTCTTGAGCCACACTTCCAGCTCTACTCTAGTAAACTTAAGAGCTAATATTTAGTAAAATGACTACTAGGCAAACTATAGTATGCAAAATGTGCTAAGTATATAATATGGTATCACTTAATTCTCATAGCAACTTTCACAGTAGGGTTCCAACTATGACAGAATGATTAAGTAATTTGCCCAGATCTCAAAACTAGTATGGTAAAACAAGGAATTAACCCTAAGTAGTTAATACCATTACTGCAATCTAATCTAATTTACTCTAGTATTAGTAATATGAGAGAAAACTAAACTTAGGGACAAAAGAGACAATAAAATAGTTGGAAACCCCTTGGGCAAGAGGGTCTAAGGATCTACAATGCTTTTGAGGGAAAAATAAGAGCCTGCAAGTTGGGGGCATGGCTCAAGTGGTAGAGTGCCTACCTAGCATGAGGTCCTAAGTTTAAACACCAGTAGCACACAAAAATAAAAGTCTGGAAACATCAAGAGAAGACAGGTTAGATTTTGGGAGGAGTTCAATAATCAGAAGTGAGTGACACTGTCTATCAAAGGCCTCACATAAGAGAAAGAAGAAATTATCCTGTCTTAATTATCTGAGTTGCTTCCTCCCCTCTCATCTGTTTGTTTTTTTGATGGGACTGGGGCTTGAACTCAGGGCTTTGCACTTGGCAAAGCATGCACTCTACTGCTTGAGCCACACCTCCAGTCCATTTTTTTCTGTTTATTTTGGAGATAGCGTGTTGCAAATTACTTGCCTGGGCTGGCCTCAAACCACAGCCCAAGTAGCTAGGAGGCATGGGCCACCAGCTCCATCTTCTCTTTTTTTTTCATGTGAGACATAGCAACAAGACTCAGCCGAATACCAAGAAGTTCTGCCTTTATTCGTACTTCCCTTCCTATAGCCTTTATCTCTACAGAAGCTTCTAGCCTTCTATCTTCAGTAGTTCTCAAGAGCTGGGACAGGGGAAAGGGCATTTTAGGGTGATGGTAGAGAAAAAGAGAATGATCCTAGAGAACTATAAAAAGGTGCAGATTTATAGCTGAGGAAGCTACTTCCCTCCAGAGCTTTAAAGACACCCTCATTAAGAGCTTCCAGGTATGCAGGGAATGTCACAGCTTCAGAACAAGGAAAAGACTAGATTCCGCTAATCACATCTGGATGCTGGTTCAGCTACAGGAAGAAGATTGGGGGGGCAAGAAGGAAGGGTACTTGGGTCCCAGATAAAGAATTACAAGCTTAAAAGAAAAAAAAAGAATCACAAGCCTGTATGTCTAAGTGAACAAAATGGACTTAACACCTTTTAAGACTAAATTAGTAAAAGGACATAGGCATCTTAAACTATTCAAACTCTAAATAAAGTATGTGTGGAATAACTACAATAAGACAGAAAGAGGAGGACCTGGTGGTCAGGCTTGTAGGTTAGAGTCTTCTAACCAACATATGAATAGCAGAAATGGGATTAAAAAATGGTTAACAACAACAAAAATCTTATATATTGGGAAACACTGTATAATACTTAGGCAAAGTGTTGACTGGAGAGAATGATTATGGGCTGGAGGCATAGCTCAAGTAATAAGGGCAAAGTCCTAAATTCAAACCCCAGTACCATCCAAAAAAAAAAAAAATGATTACATTAGCATCTGCTCTATTATCTTCTCCCCACCCCCACCACCCTGAGGTAGAAATCCTTACCAAATCTATAATTTCTCTTCTGTTACGAGAGAACAGAACAGCAAGGTGGCTCAAGCCTATAATCCTGGCTACTCAGAGGCACAGATCAGAAGAAGCCCAATTCAAGGCCAGTCTGGGCAAAAAGTTCACAAGACCCCATCTCAACCAATAAAAAGCTGAGCACTGGTGGTGCAAGCCTGTCATCTCAGCTACATGGAAGCATAAATAGGAGGGTCATGGTCCAGGCTGGCCTGGGCATATAAGCGAAATCTAAAGTAAAAAGGGCCAAGGGGAGTGTGTGGCTCAAGTGGTGAAGTGGTAGAATGCCTCCCTGGCAAGTGCAATGCCCTGAGTTGAAACCCCAGTACTGCAAAAAATCAAAACATCCAGGACAATTCTCTCAGTTGTTTTTAGATAAAGTAAAAAGAAAAAGCTAATCTAGAGACCAGAACCTGAAGTAAAGAAAGGGAGGCAGACAAAAGAGACAGATGGGAAGAGAGAGAAAGTCACTCCAATTGTATGGTTTATTTGGTTGAGGAGGTGACGGAAGTTTAACCAACTTTCCCTTTTGTTTGCCCTTATTATTTGAGCCATGCCCCCAGCCCATAATCATTCTCTCCAGTCAACACTTTGCCCAAGTCTTTTATACAGTTTTCCCAGTTCTCCAAAGTCTCAAATGGCACAAAATTCACAACAAAATGAGCAACCTCTGAATCTGCTCTCCATGGCAGTTTTCCTGAAGTGTCTAGAACTTAGGTCCCTGCAGTCCTCAGCAACCAGAGACTTTACAGAACTAGATCCCCTCCCCTCAACCCCAGTACTGGGGATTGAACTCAGGCCCTTGCTTGTTAGACAAGTGCTTTACCACTTGAGCCACTTCCCAAGCAAGAGATTCTTAGTATTAGGAAAGTTGATCAAACTTTTACCTATTAGTCACAAAACTAAGCAGGTTTTGGTACAGATAAGGACAAAGCAACACAGGATCTAATTATGGTAGCAAAATCTTCAGATAAGGTGCCAGGCTCGTAAGTTTTATGACCCTCCCCTCAAAAAAAAAAAAAAAACCAAAAACAAAACTTTCATAGAAATCCAAATATATAAAGAGGAGAAATCCTATACAAAACTTTAATTTTTATAGCTAAGACACATTACCACCAACAGAGCAATAGCACACATACAACAGAAAAGAACTAGCACCCTAAACTATTCATGGGTTGACTACAAAGTAGAAATGAGGTTGGTTGCTCACTGGTAGAGTGCACGCCTGGCATGTGCAAGGTCCTGGGTTCAATTTCCATCACCATCATCACCAAAAAAAAAAAAAAAAACACCTAGTCACCTAGTCTGACTCCTTATATGCTTCCAATCATCTAGGTAATAATGTTTAATATCTCTGACATCCTCTGTCATGCTCTGAATTCTATCTGAGGGGTATCAAGCCCATTGACCTTCCTGAACTGCATAACCAAAAAGGTCCCACATACTGACTTCTGGTATCAGACAATATCAGTCATGCCTCTTGAAAAGAGGGCCCTTTTACTTACTATGGGACTCTGGATTCCATTTTATTCAACAAGGCTTCATTATTAGCTCATAGCAGAAGACTAACAATCATTTGGCCTTATAGTTATATCCTTTGCACCCCCCGAAACCTACCACGTTTCTCCCTATTTTATCTCAAGGGTTAACTTCAACCATACTTAAGCAAAGATCTGAGGGATAACTTGGCCTCTTCATAGAGGACAGAGGTAAAAGGATGCCTGTGCATATGAAGAAGGGAATAAATAAGCTTAAAGGGTAGACTCAATCTTCTTCCTTGTCTTCTTTTCTAAGGATAATGGCATTATGGCTAATCTCTCCTAATATGTGCTCCTGAAGCTCCCCTCATCTGGTCTACTCTGGCACCAAGAATTTAAAGGAGCACCTAAAAAAACACATTGTTCTCTTTTCTATTTTTTTTTTTATTAACAAGCAAAATAATTAAAAACAAAAACACAACAACCTTGAAGTTGGAACAGCATTAAGTCCAATTGCTGCTGGAGTTCACGGATGTACCTGAGGTACATGCTCCCTCACTGGGAGGCAGGATGTAGTAGGCACATGACTGTGCATTTAGGGATATATGTGACCAAGAAGAATCAGAGAAATGGAAACCACTGGAGAACAGAAAGCAGGAAGAATTTTTCATCATGCAATCCCAAAGCGCTCTGCTCTTTTCCTCTTCTTTGCCTATTAGAAAAAAACAAGAAGAAAAAAATGACATTGCAAAACAATAATGGCCTAAATTCCTGGCTACTTAATCCACATTCATATGAACTACCACAAGGTTCAAGAAGGGATGACCCAGACTTTAAACTAGAGACTTCCCTCCAATTAATTCAGTTAGAGCTGGGGAGTTTTAGTGAGAAAGAAGGATAAGAAGGAAAGAAGATTATCAGAGGTGAGAGGAAAGGAAAGGAGGAGAACAGAAAATCTTTAGAAAGATTTTCTAAAGGTAGTGGTGGTGCACATCTGTAATCCCAGCACTCGGGAAGCTGAGGCAAGATGATCACATGTTCCAGGCCAGACAGGGCTGCACAGCTAGACTCTATCTCAAATTTAAAAAGAAAACAAATTTCCCTTAGGTGAAAAGATGGCTCTGCTTTAGAAAACAGCCTGGAAATAATAATGCTGAGAAAGTCTTCTAGTCAGTAGGGAGATGAGAGATTTCAGAGGACAAAGGGTTAACCAATGCTATTCACTGAGGTAGTAAGGATTTCCTTTTGGCTATGCCTTGGACCTCCAATTCACAGAGATGTACATAAATCTTCAATGCAAACAGAATAAATTGAGGGAAGGAGGGTTTTCTTGGAGAGCCGTTGTCATCTCTTAAGGAAGGCAGCATTAGAAAGAGGGCACAAAATTGGGCAGAGGAATTTTTTCCCTCTGGGAGTGACTCACAAAAAAGAATTTGATCCTTCATCCTCACTTCAACCACTGTCCCAGGGCACAAGGGACCTTTTATTCAGCCCATTCACACAGCAAGTTTTGAAATATATATTTCAAAAGAAAGCTGAATACATACAAGCCCAGCCCACTCCATCTGAACTACTGACAAAATTCCTTAAAATCAAACAAAAATCCGGATTCATGTAAACTCCATTAGCCTCAGAAATTATTACTCCCTTAAAAACACTGCCTCTTCCAATAAAAGCCACTGTTCCTTGCCACCCAATATTCATCCTCCTTAACTTGGAGAGGCCAAATGTACCTACTTAGTGAGCATGTCTGGTTTAACAAGTTTCCCTGAGAAGGAGGGAGTAATTCTAACCAGAATTAAAACAAGCCTAAGTTTACTTCATTCTCATTCTGATAAATCAGTAAGTAAGCAGATACTTACAATAGGTAGCATTTTATACTCAGTGACATAAAGAATATAAACTCCTTTAGATTTTTTTCCTAATGGAGAGTGTAAATTGTAATTTTCATGGCTTATTTACAAGACTGTCTGTGATATTTATTCATAAAGAAACTTCACAAGATTTTAAATAAGAAAATAAATTTTTAGAGGCTATCATCTCCAAAAGTAAACAGAAGAAAACTGGGATTGTAAAAAACAACATTCCAAATGCCTTGCCACCCAAGAAACTTTCTATAATTCTACACATATTCATTATTTCAACTTCTCTTTATGTATATTCCAAATGACGAGTCTCCATTACAGATATACTCAAACCACTAAACCTGCACTGTCAATACTCAATCTCAGTGAATGTAAGTTACCCCAGGGAAATCTGAGATATGGATGAACATAAAGTCTTTTTAAAAAACTACTGCAGGACTGTGGATGTAGCTCTGTAGTAGAACAACTGCCTAGTATGTGCAAGGCCCTGAGTTGTAGCCTGGGCACCTGAGGGTGGACAGTCTTTTCTGGGGGGAAACAGGGTCTCCCTATGTAGTCCAGCCCATACTACATACAGTAGCCCAAACTACTATATAGCCCAGGCTGGCCCTAAACCTGCAGTCCTCCTCTCTCAACCTCCTGAGTGCTGGGATTACAAACATGCACCACCACACCCAGCCTAAAAAAACCCTATTCTTATACCATGGGTTCTTTTCAGACCATCGAAATCTTAAAAATTTCCATGGACAGGAACAACTCTGAGTCCTAAATCAAGTTTTGAGGCCTTGTTTCAGCAAGGCTACAATAAAAAACAAATTCCCTTTCTTTAATTCTGAGAAACTATCTGTAAACAAAATGTAAGAATGAGAAGTTGCATTTGAAAATACTTCTATTCTAGAGGCCACAACTATACTTTTGTCTAGATTGGAGGTGGCTTTCATTAAATGTTCATTAAATGATCAAAGGAAATAATATATCTAGCAAGTAATAATAAACTACCACTCACTGAGTGCTTACAATATACACATATTGTTGCATGCATTTTAGATAAAGCCATCACTTTTTAAACAGAACTGCTTCATTTCATTCTTAAAATCCTACTTTGAGGTAGGTATATCATCTCCACTTACCAGATGGTGAAAGAAGTAAGGCTCTGCAAAGCACCATAACTTATGAGTAATACAAAGTGGCATAGCCATTTTTTTTTTTTTTTTTGCAGTACTGGTGTTTGAACTCAGTGCCTACACCTTGAGCCACTTCACCAGCTCTTTCTTTGTGATGGGTTTTTTCGAGATAGGGTCTCAAGAACTATTTGCCTGGGCTGGCTTCGAGGCACAATCCTCCTGATCTCTGACTCCTGAGTAGCTAGGATTACAGGCATGAACTACTGGCGCCTGACTGCACAGATTTTTAATACAAGTGTACGTGATTTCCAAATCTTCTGCTGTTTGCTAATAAGCTAACAGATTCTAAAACTGAATAAAATACACTGGTGAAGTTCAATGACATTGAATTCACTGAGGATGAATACTGACAATGTTGATTGACTGATTTGAGTGTATCTGTAATGGAAACTAGCTGTCATTTGATATAATACATTGGTGACTACTCTGTCCTGAAAAAAAAATTATCAAGCAAATGGCAAATATCTCTTCATTTGGGCACGTAGGAATTAGGCTGGGGAAACAGAGGTGTCTTCTCCTCTCTATTCAATGTATTCACCCTTGTTTCCCTTTAAGAAATGTACAAAGCATTCTATTTTACCTCTGTATCCTCTGTGGTTCCAGTTCCAGCTGAACTTGTGACAATCCCAAATCGTTCCTTCCTCTTTTTCAGTTTCTCATCATCTTCAGACTGTTCAGAACAAAGAAAACAGTTGAAACAAACTAGTGTCTATTCACAAAGTCCATAGGAATGAAACTGTAATTTACTGGCTACACTATACAAGCCAACTATATAGTAAGAACCAAGGATCACACAAACAGAAAAGATAGATAAGAAACTAAATAAGCTAGTGCCATTATTTGGATGTGGTTTACCCCTCAAGAGTTCATGAATTGAAAGCTTGGTCTCTAATGTGATGGTGGAAGGTGGTGGAACCTAGTAGGAATTGGTTAGGTCACTGGTGGCATTACCTCAGAAGGGAATAAAGTGGTTCTCATGGGACCCTGAATTAGTTCTTGTGTCAGTGAGTTATTCTAAAAGCAAGCCTAACTCCTGAGTTGTGTTGTGGCTTCTTATCTAGAATATGATCTCTTCCTTTCCCAAGCATTCCTGCCATTATATGATATTACTTGTCATGATATGATGTAGCCAGTGGAGAGGCTTTGCTGTTTGAACGTTCATCATCCAAAACTGTGAGCTAAATGTTACTTTATCAAGTTACTTAGCCTCAGCTATTTCCTGATAGTAACAAAATGAGACTAATACAGTTGGCATATAGTACCCAGAATGACTAAAATCTTAAGCAGGGCCTCAATTCTCATAGGTGCAGTAAAGAAACAGTAAGAAACAATCATAAAACAAATTTCTTGACTAGAGGCATGGCTCAAGTGGTAGAACACTTGCCCACCAAGCACAAGTCCCTGAATTCAAACTCTAGTACTGCCAAGAAAAAGAGAAAGAGAGAGAGAGACACACACACAGAGACATTCTGGCAGTTCAGTTATGGAAAAAACTGGGGTTCCACTCAGTAACTCATGCAGAGAACAGGTTGGGAGAAGGTATCTGAACCGCTTGTTGAACACTACTTACAAATTTCATTTACTTATGAAGGAAGGGAAGGGGAAGAGATCCAGAGAGGCGTTTCTGAAAACTTGTAAAGAAAGCCAGTGTTTGCTTGAAACATCCAGCAAAGTTATAGAAAGCTCTGAATAGTTTGAAATGATTTTGAAAAAAGATGAGCCAAGGAGACAGCTGCAGTCATCTTTCTAAGACAGATATTCTTTGGGTATTTTCCAAGCATCCATGATATTCATGTTGTCTGCCAGGTAACTGGAAAGAATGTTTCATCTTACTATGAACTGGAGCTGGCCATTCTCTTATAGGTATTCTAAGGACTGAACTACTGTTCATATCCAACTCTTTTCAATAAAAGAATCTTATACACGTTCCCATCAGCACCTACATGATACCACTTCATCCCATTTCAAGTTATTTTCTCCTTCCCTACCTTCCTCTCACACCTAAATCAAAAACTCAGCTTCAGGATTATAAACTATTAGGAGGACTTTCCAAGTGTTTTTCAACCAGAAGGATTTCTAAAACTTGGCACAACTATCCAAAGATCCCACCTTCTCATAATCTCATAACCTCTGTTCCATACATACAGCCCTACTTCCACCACAGAGCAGAGCAGCTTTTTTCTTTTTTCCCTTCTTCCCTTGCTCCCCTCTCCTTTGTCTTTGGTTTAGACAAGGTTGTAACCCAATCTCAAGATCTTGAACTCAAGATCCTCCTACCTCCACTGCCAAAGTAGCTGGGATTATAAGCATATACTACCATATCTGACTCAGAATAGTCTTCCTTCCTTCCTTCTCCTCTCCTCCCCTTTTCTTTTTTATAGGACTTGGCTCTGAACTCAGGGCCTCACACTTGCTAGGCAGGCACTATATCAGGAGCTATGCCCCCAGCCCTTTTTTCTTTTTTTAAGACAGGGTCTCACTATGTAGCCCAACCTGGTCTGGAACTTACTATGTAGCTGAGGCTGGCCTCAAACTGGCATTCCTCTCATCCCAGTCTCCTGAGAGCTGGGATTATACATGTGGCCCACTATACCTTGTGCATGACAGTCTCTTTTAAATGAGTTTCTATGAGGTGCTTCTGAGCTGGATTTTTGTTTTCTTTAAACCTCAAGGAAGGCTGATAAGGGTGGGTCAAGTGGGTAGAGTACCTGCCTATCAAGCGTGAGCCCTGCATTCAAACCCAAGTGCCACCAAAAAAAAAAACCAAACAAACAAAAAAAAACCCACACAAACTGAAGGAAGTTATAGTCCTTCTATTCTGTCTGTAAACTTGGTGTATCCCAAGACCACAGAGTCAAAACCAAAGTTAATCATGAGACCTATAAATAAACAAGAAAATTTCAATACTCATACTCTCAAGAAACTAACCTGAGCCAGATACCAATGGCTCACACTCATAATCCTAGCTACTCAGGAGGCAGAGTTTACAAGACCTATCTCAAAAGAACCCATCACAAAAAAAAAAGCCTGGTGAAATGGCTCAAGGTGTAGGCCCTGAGTTCAAATCCCAGTAGGAAAAAAAAATGCTCAAAGCAAAAAGGGCTAGGGGTGTGGCTCAAGTGGTACAGCATGCATGGCCCTGAATTCAAACCCTATTACTGACAAAAACAAAACCTTGGGGGCTGTGAAAGAGTTAAGAATCCTACACGTGAAATTATGTAGCCTAGTTTTTCTATCTTTTTCATCAGCAAATCTATAGTGGGTAGCCAATTCATGTAATCCTAAATTACTTTTTCTAAGAAAAGTATTCTTACCCTTAATCATGGAGTAAAATAATAGTAATATAATAGTCCCTAAATGAGTGTTTCCTATGTGCCATGCAGTGTATTGGGTTCTTTACATGCAACTTCTCATCATCTCATTCTTTTTTTTTTTGTGGTGGGAATGAGGCCTGAACTCAGGACCCGTACCTTGAGTCACTCTACCAGCCCTTTTTTGTGATGGGTTTTTCTGAGACAGGGTCTCCCAAATTATTTGTTCAGCCTGGCTTTGAACCTTGATTGAGGTCAGCCTGGGCAAATAGTTCATGAGGACTTCCCCACTCCCCCCCAAAAAAATAAATAACCAAAGCAAAATGGACTAGAGGTGTGGCTCAAACGGTACAGTGCCTGCTTTTCAAGTACAAAGCCCTGAGTTCAAACCCCAGCCCTACAAAAGAAACCCTTTAAAAAACTAAAGGGTTTCTAACAAACACAAACCCTACCATATTTTCACTCTCCAAGTTAAGGAGGAAAATTTTCTTATTTTTGTCTACTACAACTAAGATAAAACTAAATAAGGGATATAAATGGAGATTTCATAATGAGAACCAGTTTCAGAGGGAATAAAAGAAGCATGTCTTCTTTTAAGAGACCAGACCAACATTATGATGAACTACCACTATAAACCTTTTTTAAAATTTAATTCAGTGCTAAGAGTACTTCAGCAAGTTCAAATCACAGAGGACACACTACTGCTAAAAACTAGCACAAACCCGGAAGCCATTTCTTTCATAAATTTCATCAAAAAACCTATGTCTATCTGAAATGGGGGTGGAAAAGACAGTCTTTTTCCTTGTTCCTTATTTTTGCTACATCCTAAAATTGGGAGTTTGAATTCTAAATTAAATTTCTTACATTTCCCTTTGAGCTCAAAGGTGAGGAAAGAATGAGGACCCAGAAGAGAAGGGATGAGGATGCACTTCTCTAGCTATTGAGGCTAATATCAGAGATTTCCCCATGAGCTTCTTTTAAAATCAGATCTTTGGGGCCTCTCCTGGAGGTCCAGATAGAGCATCTGCTTCAAACCCTTCAGGGACTCTAAGTGGGGGCAGGGAATACCTCCAACTCCTACAACAGCTTCCCCAACCACAACAAACAGCCTGCCCTTCCCTCCTCAACCCAGCATCCCCCAGCCTCCTTCCTCCTTGCCCTGCAGGGAAAGTGCACAACAGGCCCAGTAAATCAACACAGTTCTAATGATCTCTCAGTTGATCCTTCTAGCGTGACAGTGTTGCATGGAAACAAACATACAATAAACTTCACTCCATCTTTAGCTCCTTGCTGACAGGTTTTGATTCATGGGATAGTGAAACCCATCTGAAAGAAATTACCTCTATCAAAACTCATCTCATTCTGCATTCATCAGGCCAATGTCCACCCCCCAGGCCGTGCCCAAGTGCACAAATGGGGATGTACATCTGCAAGCAGCCCTGATCCCTCCAGCTCAGTGTCATACGCATTTGGAAAACTTTCCCTTCTTCACTACCTCAAATCCCTCCCCCAATCACTCAACTACTAACAAACCTTTTCCTTTCCATGCACATGCCTGTGCAGGAAGAAAAGTCCTTGAATCTGAAGTGTCCTTATTTCCCATCAAATGCAAACGCCTCCAAACATACAACTCGCGTTTAAACTCAGGGGAGAAACCTGAGGTTTGGATTTTTGTTCTCATTCATGTATTTCACTTTACCCAACCTTCTCACTCCTCAAGATTTATGACACCATGTTAAGTGGCTGATGCCAATAATTTCATGGCACTTGATAACTATCTTGTGTTTGCCTTTCTTTTTTAAAAAAACCTCATTTATAAAATGAGAAAGAATTGTGCAAAACAGGAGAGAGCACCCATATAAAATAGTAAAGAGATCATGATCTATATTTCATAAAACCATACACTTCTATGAGTCACTATTTATTGTGTTCTTCCATTGTGGAATAAAGATAGCACAAAACCAAGCCCTTTAGAAGACATCCTCAACTTTTCAAAATTCACTTATCTCCTTGTTTTCCTTTTGAATTTGGTAAATCTTTAAAATATAAAATATAAATGATACCTGCTAAAGCAAATGACTAGAACATTCAAGGCTGCTCAAAGATACAAATTACATATGCAAAAGTGCTTGGCACATAAACTATCATATAAGAGGTATTCAGTAATACCCAAGCTGTGAGGCCCTCAGTTCACATCCTAGCCCCATATATATACATTCCTCCTGGTCCTTGAAGTTTGAGGCAACCAACAAAAATTTTGAAGGTAACTATGCTGATCACTCTTCTACAGAGGAGACAGAATCATAAAAGGGCAGAAAGAAATGAGATCCATAGCCAGGTGCTGGTGGCTCACACCTGTGAGACTGAGACTTGGAGGATCGTGGCTCCAGGTCAGCCCAGGCAAATAGTTCACAAGACTCTATCTCCAAAATAACCAGAGCAAAATAGACTGGAGGTGTGGCTCAAGTGGTAGGTTTTTAAGTCTCATTTTTCCACGTTAAAGAATGATACTGGGCTGGGCGCTGGTGCCTCACACCTGTAATCTTAGCTACTCAGGAGGCAGAGATCAGGAGGACCATGGTTCAAAGCCAGCCCAGGCAAATAGATGAAGATGCTATATCAAAAAAACCCATCACAAAATAGGGCTGGATGGACTGGTTCAAGGTGTAGGCCATGAATTCAAACTCCAGTACTGGAAAAAAAAAAAAAAGATACTGGGCCAGGTGCTATGGCTCACATTTGTAATCCTAGCTATTTGGGAGGCTGACATTAAGAGGACTGAGGTTTGAGAGACTGTCTCCAAAATAACTAGAACAAAATGGACTTCAGGCATAGTTCAAGTGGTAGAGTGCCTGCTTTTCAAGCATAAAGCCCTGAGTTCAAACCCCAGTCCCACAAAAAAAAAAAAAAAAAAAAGAAAAGAAAAGGAGGGAGGGACAGAGGGAAGGAAAAAAGAGGTAACCAGGTTATA